ACCTCTGGTTGGCCTGTGAGACCAGCCCCTTGGCCTGTTCTCACAGGCCTGTGTTCTATTCAGGGGCAGTCCAGTCCAGTCCAGTCCGTCAGTCCGCTGGGGTATACCCCAACCATTGTCTGTTTTTCGGATCATTCTTCACTTGCACATTTTGCAGTACGTGCGTTGGAGTCTTGCGTGGGGAGCTGCGTTGTGCCATCTCGCTCCCCCTTCTTCCTCCATCCCCATCTCTATCACTAGCGGAGCACCACACCTGGTGGGTCCGCTACATTGGTATCGGAGCGGGAACGGTCCCCGCTCCCACCCACCACCCCGCACACAGGGGAAAACAGCAAATCCCGACAGCGGGATTTTTCGCTGTTTTTTGGCTGTTTCTCACGAAAAACAGAGGATAAAAGGCGCAGCAGCAGGAGGACTCCACGTGGCGAAAAAGGAAGTGACATCACGACGCGCTTGCGCCAAGGCCGCCGCCGCATCACGCACGCGCCATGTGCCACGTGCCCACGCTGCCCCGCCCCGCCCTGCTCCCGGATATAATTATTTTCAAGATCCGGGATGCAGCAGCTGCCGCTGGGGTTTGAACCCAGGTGCCTGCCAGGCCATGCACGTGCATAAGCAGCCTCATAACACACTCGCCACAGAGTGTCTATGACCTTGTAGCACGGCACACTCGTGTTGAAGAGGTGTCGTGCTGGCTATTTACCCCCCCCCCCCCCCGAGCAGCGAGCAGCGGCCAACAACCCAGCAAAGGGGGAGGCTTCTATTTTCCCCCCCCCCCCCCCCTTGGCTGCTGCTGCCTGTGCACGTGGCCACCTGCAGTGCCACGTGGCACTTTGCTATGGACTTGAAGACCCCCTGTGTTTCAGGGGCTGCTCTACACCGGTGAGGGTATGCTCACACAACATACCCTAGATCTGCAGATTTGCAGTAGGGGCTGATCAAGATCTCAGCCCCCTCCCTCCTCCAGCTGGCTGCTGCAGCGAAGGCCAAGACCCTCCTGGTTTTGGTGTACCTTGTGCCCTTGGAGACACCAAGGGCCAGGTATCTTTTCTCTCTCCCCCTTTCCTCTACTAACCCACTTTCCATACCTCTCTCTCTCTCTCCTCTTACTCATACCCCTCCCCCCACCCCACCTTTTCTCCCACCTCCCATTCTTTTACTCTATTTACTTCATCTCTTCTTTTCTTTCCTCCTTCTCTCCTTGCTTCTTGATCCCTCTCCACCTTTCCCCAACCCTCCTCTCCCCCAACTACCACCACATCATCCCCCCCACTTCCCACTTCATTTTTTTCTCTCCCCCATCTATTTCTTTCTCCTCTCCTTTACTTTTCATTCCCATTACCCCCTACTTCGATTTGTTTCTTTTTTTTTTCTGTTTTTCTTCTTTCTATCTCTCTTTTGATTATTTTTTCTCCCTTTTTTCCAAAAATTTGAATCATCTTTTCCCCACCCTCTTTTCTGATTTTCTGATTTATTTCATTAATTTTTTTATTTATTCTGAAAATTCGACTTTCTTGGTGGCAACCCCAAATCTGATTAGGTGTTAGCCTTTCTTGCTTTCGGCACACGTTTTGACCCCGTGGGGGTAACGAAGTGCTGCCAAATTTTTCTGATTTTCTCTTACTTAGTCTTTTCGGCACACTTCGACCCCATGGGGGCAATGAAACGCTGCCAAAATTTTTGACAAATTAGATACTTCATTCCTCCCCACCTCCTCATCCACTTATTTACTTCTTTATTTATTTATTTATTTATTTATTATTTCTTTATTTATTTTTTGAAATTTCTCTTTTTTATTTGCGGCATCTTGACACCTAGTGTGCTCACCTTGGTCTCTCCTTTCCCCTTGGCACATTCTTGACCCCGTGGGGGGTAGGGAAATGCTGCCAAAAATTTCAAAAAAATAAATATTGTTTTCTCCTCACATCTTTTATTTATTTTTTTTAATTATTTTTATTATTTATTTATTTCCCTATTTATTTTTATTTTCTCTCGAAATCTCGCTGTTTATTTATTTTTCCTCCCGCCTCTCCACCCCTATGCTTGCTATTTTACTTTCTTGATTAGGTCACCGGTACCCTACCCTAACCACTTAAACTTCGGTTAGGGTTTTCTTAGGGTTTTTGTAGGGTTTAGGGTTCTTCAAAACCCCCCTACTCCCCCGTCCTTTTCGGGCACCCTGGACTCGAACCACCCCTTCCACATTGACGGCGCCCGTGCTAGCCTTGCTAGCGCCGTTCGTCGCTTTCTACCGCGGACTTCCCCCTACGCCCTCCGCTCACGCGGACCTCTTCTGACCCCTTCCTGTCCGGTCCGTCATCTCCCCATGGCCGACGGTGTGTCACACGCCGCCGACACGACGATGACCACGGCATCGGGCTCCACACCCGTGCCGGCGGACTAGGGCCATCAGCCCCAGGGGGATTTGCACACCCTCCTCACCTCCCTCCCCTCCTTGCGCCCATCCAGACGCAACTCGCGACCCTTGCGCCCATCCAGGCGCAACTCGCGACCCTCGCGCCCTTACAGGCGAAGGTGGCGACCCTTGCCGCCGGCGTGCATCAACTCCAGGACGCTGCGTGCCCTCCATCTCCTGGCTCTCAGTCCGGGTCCCCCGTCCTCCGACAAGGTGGCCACGGCGGAGCTTCCTCCTCCGCTGCCCCCGACCCGACCATCTTGGTGACTGTCCATGCCCCTAGCACGACGGCCGCCACGAGCCAGGCCCTCCCTCAGTCTACGGGCGCACCCGCCCAGATCCCGGTCACTACGGCCACGGTACCACAACCCGCTACCATGGTCGCAGCTTTTCCGGGTGCCCAGTTTCTCCTTCCCCTTCGCACGACCGCAGTGCCACCTGACTCTCCCCCCCCCGGGATGCCCCGCGCCGCTTGTGCGTCCACTTCCTCCACTCTTCCTCCTGCCACTCCTCGCACGACCTACGTTCGAGGTCTCGAGAACGAGATTGCCCAGCTCCGGGCCGACCTCGCCCTCTCACGCCTTCAGCCACCCCCACCCTCACAGGTGGCCGCGCCTTCCGTCGCACCCCCTTCTTCCTCTATTCTTCCTTCCGTGCAGGCTCGCTTCCCTCGCCCTGCACCCTACCCATCTCCATCCTACCTCCTCCCCATCCCCTCGGTTGCTGTGACCTCTTCAACCGCAGCTCCCGCGCAGCCTGCCGCTGTTTTCCCCCGCCGCTCCACCATGCGGCCCGGGCGTACAGTCAGTTGCGCCTCCTCCTCCAGGACCTGCGCCGACTTATTCCGCCGTAGCGCAGTTCCCTGCTCTCCGTTCCCCTCGCCGCCAAAACGGTGGCGCACCACTCATCCGCTTGTCGGACATTCCCTTGTATGACGGTACATGCATACGCGTGTCTAGGTGGTTGCAGTCTGCCACCCGAACGCTCCAGCTCATGGGCGCCACACCCGACACGTGGGTGGGTCACCTCTCCACGCGCCTGCGTGGTGCTCCTTTCGACGCCTGGGAGGATTTCTATGCTTACTCCCTACGTGGGGGTCAGACTCCGACCTTCATGGATTTCCAGGCGTTCCTCGAGGATCGCTTCGGAACCCGATATGACGTGACTGACGCCTTCGAGCGTGTCGTCACTACACGCTGGTCCGGCTCTGGTGGCGCTGCCGGCCTCGATCGCCACATCCAGGTCTTTCAGGACGCCCGCCTCGTTTGTGACGTGGCGTTCCTTCCTGAGGTTGCCCTTATCGATCGTTTTTTGGCCAGCCTCCCGCTCGAGTACCGCTCCGAGCTATGGCGGTACGAGTTCACATTGGCCTCGCAGTCTTACGAGGCCGCCAGGAACCATGCGCGGATGCGAGCCCGTCTTCACCCCGCCTCCTCCTCCCAGCCTCAGCGCATGGGTTACGCCTCTTCCTCCTCTCACGGCACTTAACAGCGCCGTTCCCCTTTCCGCGGTCGCCCCCACCGTCCCACCCAGCAGGACCGCCACTTCTTGCGCTGCTTCAGCGCGCTCGAGTATGGGGGGCAGGACCCTGGTGCCCCGCTGTCACCAGAGGGTGACCATAGCGCCGACCTCGACCTCGGCAAGGCCGTCCACCACCACCTGGAGGACCCCACTCTCCCTATGGCTGAGCGCCTCTAGCTCATCCTCTCAACCCTTTCCCGGGCACGCAGCCGCCCTGGTCACGCTGGCGCGTCGCCCCCCGAGGTCCCTCAGCAGGACCTCCCTCAGGGCTTTGTCCCTCCTCGCGGTGTTCTTTCCGCTGAGGAGCGCGCGAC